AAAACACAAATTACAAAGGATTCAAGGTTCAAAGGAACTTAGTTCAAGCTGTCCGTAGACCCTCCAGAGGCTTTGTGCAATGTCGGATTTCTGTATTACGCCCAAAAATTTGTCGCAAAGTAAAGAAGCAAGCTCTCTACAGAAATGCATAGAAAAATCACGTCTCGAGCGCTGTATTCACAGTGAGTTTTCGCGAAGAAGTCTGACCATTGCGTAGGCGGTCGTTCAGGCGTTCGCTTGACATCCCGTGGAATCCAGTCGGTGATCGCTCTGGTCCAGCGGTCGTCCTCGAAACGCATGACGTGCCCGGCCCACCTGATCTTCGAAACCTTGGCAAATGCGGCGGCGTCTCTGATCTTCGATCGTCGGCGGAATGCAAAGCTCCGGATTCCCTCTTTCACTTGCGTGTAGTGGGGAACTCCAATTTCGATTGCGTGTTGAATGACGCTGATTGCAGGTTCATCCTGCTGTAGAGAAGTCTTCGGCAGTCTCTCTGGTCAAGTAGGAAACACCACGGAATCGAAGAGGTGAGCACGCAGCCGAAGGTTCTTCGTCTTCTCCTTCGCTACTCGATGATCTTGAATCATAAGGCAGGGCAAAATCAGCACTTTGAGCCCATAATTTTCTACTTGTTGAAAAGGATCAGCCACTAAGGAACGATAAAACGCCTCACATTGAGAGGAAGGTGGCACTGAAATCCCACTAGAACTTCGTGTGCTTTTGCTTCTTCTTGGACATTCCCCCTGAGCATCCCAATCGCTCACAGCAATACTTTTAGGGGAAAAAAGAGCGAAACGCTGCTACAGCAGAGTGATTAATCGATGAAACTTTTAATTGGCCACCATAAAAAATGTCGGCCACTGAACAATTCGATGATTTATTAAAAAGCGCCTGTTGCTCGATTTAACGCGCTAGTCACTCGATTTAGCGCTGCAGCCTCAATTATTCAAAATCAATCGTTTCCTGAAGAAAACATGGTGGAAATTTGTACGCATCGACCCTTTATTAAATTCATAAATAATCATTTCAAGCAGACAAAAGTTTCTCCCAAGACAAAAAGAGTAGTTGAGAAGGGAGCAACCTCAGTTAGCGGAGGAATTATATATGCTGGATAGAACGCAAAAAATGAACTTGGTCGAGTGCTCATATATATCATTTGAACTTATTGAGCAACGCCGAAATAGCCAGTCATGTGAAGACCTCAGACTTATTGAACATTTCCCGGCCAGAACAACTGCGAAAAGTTCCACTCATAGCGGACCGCCGTCCTATGAATATTACCTAATCATTCCTCGTTTCTTTTTACACCGAGAATCAGTAATTTCATGGGCTTTTTTAGTAAGGATTTGTGCACTCCGTGTCCAGAAACTGCTCTGACATATTAGAGAATGAAATATGCAAATGTCAAATATGAGAAACAACGCAGTAAGAAAATGTATGACACACCATGTGTGTCACGCGATACGGAACGTGTAAAAAGGTAATCGAGACGAGATAAAGATCAAGATAGAATCCAGGTGAAGCGATCCCTGTAGAGCTGTCCAGGATCCCATGGGGAAAAATACTAATTAAAACCCGAAACGAAGATGTCATAAAAACTCATAAAATGTGTTGAATAACTCGTTGTATGCTAAGAAAAGAGTCTGTCAGGTCGAAGAGCGCTTTTTTTACGAAGGTTTTTTTGTATTTTGAAGGTGCAGGTGCAGGGACTGCAAAAGAAAACCTTATCCTCCTGCTTCGTTTTGGTACTAATAATGACCCCACTCTAGCAAATCTTATGATCATTCCGAGGAAGGTGCAGGAAAATAGCCTGCAACAAGTCAAAAAAGGGTTTTGGAAAAGCGCTCCATAACGTGGAAGGGATGAGGATGAGACTAGATTTCCGAAATGTTTGCATTACTCTGACCAAAGAGGGGATAGAAAGAAAGAAAATTGGGTGCTCATAACCTTGGATAAAGCGTTTGGAGGACTCCTCTTGCAAAACTAGAATTACTTTCGCCTGAGCCTGAAGGAGAAAAGGAGCCTCCGGGCATGCGAACCAATTCCATGAACCGTAACTCTACTGGAATTATGTTGAGCCAATCTTTAGTCCTCTGAATGCCCCTCTAAGGCTACAAACGCCCAGAAAAATTATATGAAAACATCCAAAAGGTACAAAAAGTTGAAGGCTAGTTAAAAAATATTTCCATCAAGCTACTCCTAATGCACCCGAAATCGACAAATACAACCAACCTGCGCCACGCAGCAACAATATCGCCGTACCATAGGGAAACGGCCAAGGGGAGTACCCCCTTACCCTACCAGAACTCTAGATGAATAATCAGTGAAATTGATTAGCGTAGCGAGTAACTGCTAACTGTAGTTATGCATTCATTCAGTCGGCTCGACACGTGTCGCACACTTCAACGACAGGCGTGCGCTCCGACAAGACCATCATCCATTACACATTCACCTCGGCACTTACCCCTCCCTCATCTCTATTCTCCCCTTCTCTGTACTATCTGGACACATAGAGATCACTGCTTCTGAGAATGATCAGGATCCTGCACAGGCACAAGCTTCGCCATCGAACAGTCCTTTGTGGAGTGAGGCACGCATTTGACTTCCATCCAGGATCGTGGTAGCTTATCGAATGTCAAGTGGCCCATACAATGAACTGCGTGGGTCAGCCAATACTGGTCAGCGCTCTTATCTTCTCAGAGAAATCGGGTACCAATTTACCGTTTCCGGAGAGCTTGTTAGTCTGGGCGAGAGCCGATCCGCTATTCGCCTCTGAACCGCGCTCATGGCATGCGTGCCACTTGCCACTACACCACTTCCGTGGAATTGCTTACTATGTGCCTTTCTCTTCCTTACTATTGACCGGGACACGTGATCGCGTTGCGGAAATATTTTGCAAAATGTGACTTCCCCACCGCCCAGATTTCTTCCTTTACTACCCTCTTTTGCAAGCTCCCTCCAGGAAATTTTGCCGCTAAGCGGGTGGAGAAGATGGGAGGACTAGTGCAAGTGAAAAAAACCAACGATCTGAAAGATATCTTTGGATACAGTATGACGCCCTCCCCACCGCCCCCCCCCCCCCTTGGAACAGCCAAATGCCGCCCTCTCCGCTATAATTTGCGCAACGGATGATGTGCCCTGCAACGACTTACAGAAGCCAGCCGATGCGTAAGCCAAGGTTTTTGCACTCCCGAAAGAGTCTTGCATTTTACCCGTGAGGGGTGGGAGACCCAGTAAGCCCCAGTGAGTTTCGATCTCTGGACAACACGTGCGATAACTGCATCGCTGCTGCCCCATCTCCGCTCTCCTTATTCTGAAGAGGAAACTTTTCGTCGTAAAGGGGAAGGGGCACTCGACTTCTTGGGCCACACTGGTAGCTGTAGGGGAAATAACCTTGTCACCCAAAGAAGTTGTTTCACCCTCCGAGGAGCTACTTCTTTCACTAGGCTTGGGCTGTCCCCATCTCATCTAAACAGATGGAAAAGCAGTCTTGCAGGAGCCAAATGAAACCACCCCCCCCCACCCCTTCCCAAGGCAATCAGCGCAATCTGTAGAGAGTGAAGCATTGTCGGTCATCATGAACCTACATAATCGCCAGTTCCATCACGAGCACACTGAGCACTGGGCGAGATGTTCGATCTCCGACAGTTTTGATCCCATACATATGCTTTCCGGGCGTCATGCTCATCCAGTGTAAAGTTGCACCAGGGAAAAAACTTGTTTGTGCAGAAAAATCAAATAACATTCTGCCGCTTTGATATTGGATTTCAATAGGAGCTCGCTTTTTCTGTTCCAGGCTATGCCACCATCATCTCTTCCGCTGCATTGCGTTCACTATCGCTCTGAAACCTCACCGATGGCTTTCAATCCCTAATCCTACATGAACAAACATTTCTGCAAAGACGCTTTATAAGCACCTCTCTACCATGAGATCAAAAACTATACCGAGAAGCTAGAAGCTAGCCTTAGACAGCCCACAGATATAGACGACGACAGGTCCTTTCCATCGACATGGGGTCAAGTCTACAGTAAGTTGGGATGAATGGAGGTTGGAAAGGCAGCGGTTAAAGATGGGGTTCCAACTGAGGCATGGGAGGTGCTTGGAAAGTCTCCATAGGTTTTATTGGAGAGGTTCACATAGTCTTTGATTTGCCTTTTTAGCTCATTCCCCACATCTCTTCATACTGGAGAAGCGAACTTTTCCCAAGACTTCTGGGTACTCCAATAATTTGGAATCCCCCCACCCCTCACAAGAACAGTCACATCCATTTGACACAAGACCGAGCCAAAGCCTCGTACAATACCAGACCAGCCGAAAACTCGATATCAGGGGTAGTTTCACTCCCTGAAGACGGATACCACTTTTTATTAGCAGGGATCCGCTCAGCGGCCGCACTAGACATAAAAATAGCTCTCACCCGGGTGCAGAGGGATTTTGGAATATGAAAAAGGTTCGACGAACACACCACGGTTGCTCCTCTTTTTTCCGTCTCTGCACATATCGACAGTTATTACTTGCTCTGCTACGATGGAGCCTCGGGAAAAGGGAGCCACTATCGCAGGCCACCCAAAAAGGCTTTGCGCTACTTGCTTGACCTCTCTCTCTCTCTCTCTCTCTCTCTCTCTCTCTCTCTCTCTCTCTCTCTCTCTCTCTCTCTTCCCGGACCACCTTAGCACTTCGGCAATCAAAACCGCCTGAGTTCAACTTTATAGGCGTTATAGGCTATCGCCAGGCGTTTTCGAGCCATGAGAATGTGATATGCGTTCTCAGGAGGTAAAACCACCCTTGTGGGCAAATTAGCAGGCAAGCCCAAGTTCTGACCCAAACACGGAAAACTATGATGCGAAGAGATGAATAGTGTTTTCAGTCTAGGAAATATGTATCCCAGGCATTTCGCTGCCACATCTTTGGAATTAAATCGTCGTCTTCAGAGTGAAACACTGCTTTTTTTCCTCGAAATAATACTTCTCGATGAAAAACAATTACTGTGGCATATCAGTCATACCTGATTACTGTCGGTACTTTGAATAGACAACCGCTGTGATTCAAGTGATGAAGTCTCATCCGTATCACGAGATTCATATTCAACGGAATTAGCCGACGACGCATTCGACGACCGCGTTGAGACTGAAGCCGGCGTCGAAGAACTTCCAGTCGACGACACTCCTTCTAATCCCACTCCCAGATCTGAAAAGGTAATAAATTCGAGAGTCATGAAAAAAGTTAAAACTGCTGGGTAATGGTTGATAGTCCTAATCTTTAATTGTAATATCTAATAATAGATCTACAGTGCACAGGAAATTCCAACGCAGGTCAGTCAGGAGGACGCTAACAGTTTCGCGAAAATGTCACAGTAATAGGTAATCTCACCAAAATTCTAGATCTTCCTGCTCTCTGCGACCCGCGTTTAAAGGCAGTTGGCACGATAAATCCCCCAAGACGAGGATCAATACTCCTGGCAGGATAGAATTCCGCGACCCTGGGCAGGCGCTGCATAGCGGTTTCCCCGAGGAAGGTGCCCTTATAAGGGCCCTATCAAGCCACAACTTTACGTCCCAAACGCCCGCCACGCCCGCCCGCCCACAAATGGACGACCGTTCCTGACGCTCGTATTCATTCATTTGCTAAGCAAATTATGAAGCGAAGGGATTGGTATGAAGCGGCCGTGATGCTGCATGCATACATGCCCATAATTAGCATATTATGCTAAGTAGGAAACATCGTGCCAACTGCCTCAGAGAACTCCCTAATTAAGACATTACGAAAGACCTAGGTAAGCACAACCGTTTGGCGCGAAAAATTCTGGCTCATGCGATGAACAAATGTGTTCGTCTTCACAGGGTCAGACAACTCTCAGGACAGACCTTGATGGCAGTCTAGCTCAACATTTGAGATGCTCGGTCTTGTAGAAAACTACATGGGAGAGTCATGATTGAAATAACAAACCAAAAAGCAAGATGCTTAGAAAAACTCACTGAGAGGCAGCAGTGTCTGGGTGAGCTCACGAATCCGCTTCACCCACATGATCTTCACATCTTCTTTCGGTTGTGGGGCACTTCGTAGATCGATGCGGTTCTCATTACTGGCCACCGTACCAATCTGCAGCAAAACTTTATGACAAAAAATAGCATCAAGTGGCGCTAATTAACTGACTGTGAAAAAAGTGTGCTGAAGTGAACAAAAGAGGAAAGGAACTAACACGGAGTCCGAAGCGACAGGGATCTCCTTCGACGTGCTCGACCACAGAGACATCAGCCAGCTGTAAAACCATTTTTCAATGATGAAGCAATAGGTTCTGAACAAAGCCCTATCCTAAGATGTATGAAAAGTGTAAAGCCTCTACCAATATCATCAAACAGATCTTCGTATATAAAAATGGGGTTCAGCGGGCAATTCGGGTTGGTGGTGGCAGCGTCTGGCACCCGAGGGCGTGCAGAACTTCCTAACCGTATACCTTCTAGGCGGAGGTGGTGTAGTGACAAGTGGCGCGCTTACCACTCGCGCGGCGCCGGGTTCGAATCCCGGGTCGACACCCGCCCAGGCCAACCAAGCCTTCTACCCTCCGGGGACGGTAAATTGGTACCAGATTCGTCTGGGAGGATAAAACACTGACTTGTACATCGGCTGGCCACCGCAAGTCATTGTATAGGCCACATCGCATTCAATAAGCCACTACGATTCTGAATGGAAGTAGAATGCGTGCCGCATCCCACAAAGGGATTGATCAACGGCGAAGACTTTATCCTTTTATCCTTTATACCATCCCAACAATATCTGCATACCCGTACTCGGATACGCTTGTATGGACACTTTGTAGAGAGATCTGCAAACTCCTGTGACCCCAAGCGGCTCAATTACAGCATTTCGCAATTTCACAAAAGTTCACCAAAGTAAGACCTATCTTTCAATACGAACAAACGGACTAGCAAATGTGCAAAATGAACCGCCGAGCCGAATAGCGCCGTCCAGAGCACAATGGTTCGTTGTGTTACCGCAAAGCCTCTATTGTCCTTCCTCTTACCAATTAGAGACAGTGGAAACAAACAACTGTTAGAAGGAAACACTCCAAACTAGAGATGATCCGTTTCCCCTCTTATCCCAGACAAATCATCGTTCTTGCATCGACCCCAGAGCTCGTGGGGAACAGGTTCAGCACAGCGCAGGCCATCAGAATTGCCGCGGCCTATCAGGACAGACATAGCCGCGCAGATGCATGCCCTACCCCTTCCTCCCAGAGCGCATCATAAGGATCAGTTAAATGACGGACGTACGATTCTGCAAAAAAAGGGCCTTGGTACAATCTCTTTCACAATCTACCATCGCTACGACCTCCCTGACCCCCTACTTCGCCCCTATCCAGATTTTACATGATTGCAGCGCACCCAAAATGGGAAAAATCAGCGTTCAGAACCCTTTCAAATCCAAACACCGAAACTGCACCCGAGTGGGTTCCTATGACGACTATGTGCTGGCCTCACCCCTCCGAACGACGTCAGCGGTGCTCCGTGAAGAAGCCCTGATGGGGAAAACGTTCGCGATTCGGACCTCTACCCGAACAGCGCATACACTAGGACAGGATACGAATATACCATTTTCACTTTAAATCGGACACTTTTCAAACCAAATCGGACACTTTTCAAACCAAATCGGACACTTTTCAAATCAAATCGGACACACCCCTTACAATAGGCAGTTGATAACTATACCACACTAGGTACTGCTGCAAGCCCCGCCCCAACACCCCGCCCACTTTTCAGCGCGGTCACGGTTTTCCAAAATGTTTTATGAAATCTGCTTCTTCGACTTTTTTTCACTTTTGCTAGTTGCACACACACTTCAACTGAAAAGGATTGGTACCGATACAGATCTGACTCCGCCCACTTCACAATGATACCGCAAGTTCTGAGTTTTATAAGTTTTTTCGACGGCGTTCTCTTTTGCGTTTTTCGTGGAATTTTGATTTTTCTTCCGAATTTTCACTTTTTTAGGCTGTAACAAGTGACTCTACCCACTAACCCACTAATGGCAGCTCCGCCCGCTTTGTATGAGCCCCGCACCCTTTGGAAAATGATCCAGATCGGCAGGAAGAGTCCGCGCTGGCAGGTTATGCCTCTCCCGTCACACAGAACGAGAAAAAAAGCGGAACTTCATTCCGAGTGACGGGAGAGGCCATAACGTGCCAGTACGGACTCTAGCCTGTCGACTTGCATCATTTTTCAAAAGTGGGCGGAGCTTCTACAAAGTGGGCGGAGCTTCTATTAGTAGGCGGGCCTCTTGATGCATCCTAAAAAGCGAAAATTCGGAAGAAAAATTAAAATTCCACGAAGAACACGAAAGTGAGCGAGGCTTAGTGTGATAATGCACAAATGCACTATGGCTATCAGTATATTCGTTTTGTGAAGATTGAATGTGAAAAGAACGACGTCGAAAAAAAGTTATAAAATTCAAAACTTGCGGTAACTTCATTGAGAAGTGGGCGGAGTCAGATCTGTGTCGGTACCAATCCTTTTCAGTTGAAGTGTGTGTGCAACTAGCAAAAAAAAAAAGTCGAAGAAGCAGAATTCATAAAACATTTTGGAAAACCGTGACCGCGCTGAGAAGTGGGCGGGGATGTTGGGGCGGGGCTTGCAGCAGTACCTAGTGTGGTCTAGTTCTCAACTGCCTATTGTAAGGGGTGTGTCCGATTTGATTTGAAAAGTGTCCGATTTGGATTTGAAAAGTGTCCGATTTGGTTTGAAAAGTGTCCGATTTGGTTTGAAAAGTGTCCGATTTAAAGTGAAAATGGTATATTTCTAGTGATTAAAAGACATTGAACACTGAATCTTACAAGAATGCTGAGTTATGGGCAAAAGTCGGACCACGGGCGGGATTCGAACCCGCATCTTCCGCTTTCCGTGCGAATGCGTTCCCTATTACGCTACCGAGGCCACCTTTGACCACTCAGCTCAATGGCTATTTGTGCCATAACCTTACAGCACTCACACGTTCAAAGTCGGACCACGGGTTCGAATCCCGCCCGTGGTCCGACTTTTGCCCATAACTCAGCATTCTTGTGATAGCTTTCGAATCGCGTACTGCGGCGTTAAACAGCAGTTAACAAACAATATCAGCTTGAAACTGAATCTTACGTTTCAGCACAGTGCATTATTCCATACAAGATGAAGATATAGGAACAGAACCCTTCACTGCCCTTTCCAAAGAAGTTCTCAAACCAAACTAAGACTACTGCAACAGAGTCAAGAAAAGTTTACTCACTGGAATTGGTTTCCCTTTGATTATGTACTTGACATTCTTCGGTGTGAATTCCACTTTCTTCGCAATCACTATAGCTTGCTCGAAGAGGAAGACCTTTAAAGAAATTCTTAAATACTAAAAAAGACACAAAGCTACAAAACTCAGCCATAACATAACTTAATGTCAACATGGAAATACCTGACGATCCTTCCCTTTCGCTTTGTTGAAATAGTTCCTTGGCTCCCAAACTGTTAGAAGATCTTGCATAACGAATGGACCAACGACACCCAGCTGAAAACAGCCGTAAGATGATGTGCCAGCCTTCTAATTACTCGTTACTGAGTCAAAAGCATATCATGTAAACCTACTTTTATATGCAAAACACGCCCTACTGCGTGCTAAACAGCTAATAAAGGTTCGGGAAGCAAGAAATTTACGGGGTGCGCCAAAATTACGTGCGCACAAAACCGCCGCTGTAAAAATGGAAGGAAAATAGTTTGGGAATGTTTCTTTAGCAGCAGTTTACTATCGAAATTCAATCATATAAAATGAACATCGTGAAATTACACACCGTGTTCACATCGTGAAATTTCCACCCAAGGTGCGAGAACAGATCTACAAACCCCTTTCAGAAATGTCTTCCCTAGGTTAAAATCAAATCCACAAATAAATTGAAATTGCTAATGCACTATAATGTAAACTTCAAAGCAAAACTTTTGCGGAACCGATGAGCTCAGACTAAAATGCCATACCTTGTCCTTCTCAAGCCCGTTGAAGTGAATAATATCGTTCACGCGGCGTGGAAGGCTTTTAACGACATCATAGGCTTCCTAAAACGACATGGTTACTGCATGTGACAGTATTAAGAAAAAGAATGGATAAAAAGTTATAACTAAAGAGACAGGAATCAAATTGTTTGAAATGAAAAAGCTGAGATGTAAATGATTCCCGTGAAAAGTATGAAACACGATTAACATAAGAAGAATCAACGAACTCGAATTTCCTCTACGTTATTGCAGTGCTTCAGCAACTGTTCCATCAACAGCTTGTATCTGAAAAGTAAGACCAAGTATCACCATTTCATGAGTACGAGCCGAAAAATATTTTAATTAATACCAAAGAAACGACCCCTCACTAGTTCTCAATAGAGGTTGCCTCTTACCTTGTGCATCGCTGTACTGGCTTTATTCGCATAGAGTGCAAAGAGTTGTTCTGTTCCAATCCATGCTTCTCTCTAATTGACTGAAAGGAGCACGAGTATAAAAGTTTTCATGGAAATTGAAAACAGTTGAATTTTACTTTCTATTACAGTGAACTTATTATATAATCACGATTCCTGCAAACAACAGGGCGTGTGAAGGTGCGTGCACAGGATAGCGGCCTGAACAGCCCTTCTCGCCAATTGTCGCAGACTCAGGATGGCGTCACTGGTGAAAAGGCTGCCCTAGCTGCGGCCCAATCCACGCCATTTGCAGGAACCATGGCTCCAGCTGAGATGACTGGCAATAAGGGACTCGAGAGGAACTTCAAGCATTCTCGCAGAGGAACGTTGGTTAACAGGTAGGCCTCTCCGTTTACCGTCATTGATGCAAGAGCGTAAGATCACACCCTCCAAGACACTTTGAGTGTGGATTAATGCTGTTCTGTAGATGGCATTCACTGCTTTTTACTAGTAATTATTACCTCGAAAAATGACATCACTTCTGGTAAGGCAACTACATGATTGTTCTGTTCCATATTTACACAATAATCAGTATAGAGCTCATTCAGATAATCCACCCAAACTGTGAACGAACATCCAACTTCTTCTGGGTCATCTTCGTACTTTGATAGTTCATGGAAGAATTTCCTAAACATATTCATTCCCTTAGTTGACTACTCTGAGCTATCACATGAGTGAGAATTCCCTGAAATATCATTTTTCAAAGTTCTATATTTCCATTTAAAGAACTTGAAAGTAAAGTCAAATTTATCAAACAAAAAGCTCACTCTGAGTGGAAGGCATATAGCTTCTCATAGTTACCAAAAATTGCTTGCCGTCGATCTTTCAAAATAGATGGGAGCGTTGAATTGGCCTCAGCAGAATCGAATTCAGCAATGTAGACCTAAAAACTCGTTATAACATAAAAATTAGGGAAGTTGTAAGCTCAGGCGGATAACGATCTACAAAGCGCTGCGTGCAATCCTGAATGAACCCTATAAACCCGAAACCTTTAGCATTCCCCCTTGAATCCATCCGCTGAATTCAGTCGAAATGACCACAGATTTCGGTTCACAAGACATCCCTCTCTAGCAGCCCTTACTGACAGAATCAACACCCCCCCCTTCTTAAGTTTTTAGACACCCTTCAAATACATGCTTGAGGCCAGGAGTGCTGAAAGCCCACCGTTGCGGAAAAATTCGCAAAATACGGCTCCTTTTAGGAGTTCCTCCTCTTGTACGACCCTCCCCCTTCCCTTATACCATCTACCATCTTCCTGAATTCTTGATACCACTGCTGCGTGGTTTTTTTTTCGTGAAATTCTCCACTTTCCCTCAAACAGGCTGCCGTCGAGTGAGTGGGAGGGGCGCAGTTACGACCCCCTGCCTCAGGCGACCAGCCCCTCCCCTTGCTGGTGATCCAATGTACGAAAGGCTCAAACCTCAAATGTGTCAGTTTTTTCTTGGGTAAGGGACAAACAGATATGACCTGGCATTGTAGCGCCGCCGCCTACCCTTACCTCGAGTTTGACATAGCGTCTAGTGCTAATTTTTCGTTTCTCGATCACCGACTCGGCGGTACGCGCCACGGGAAGGGCAGGTCTGCAGTTTCCAAGGAGAGAGAGGGACCTCCTCCCCCGTGGTCACGCGAGAAAACTTGCTTCGACGAAGTAGGTCACCATCTCCGCAGCCCCATCGTTCCTTCAAGGTGGCGAGCTGCTACATTGATATTAGGGCCCTCCGGAGGCGCAGCGCCCCGACACCTCCACAGTTTTTACAATAAGATCAACGCCTCGTCAGCAGAACAACACAAAAGACCTCACAAAAATCGTAATAAAAAAAGTGTTGTACCTGAATACATTTCCGTAAATCTTCTATGTAGTCCCGTTCCGATTTTATGAGCTCATGCATAGGCTCCCTATAAGAAGGGAACTTCCTTATATATGACTCAACCGTATTTTCAGAAAGAAGCACCAAAATTAAGCGGAACAAGAAAATAATCGAGTAACAGATAAGACGATGATAACCGACAATCAAATGACTTCAGCTTCACCCCGTCTCTGAACACGACTCCAACGTGTTCAAACAGGTGAAGGATGCCCGAAGTTCACGCTACAGAAAATGCTCTTGGGCGGGTTATTTTCACTCCATAACCCGAAGATGTGGAGGGCGTGGCAGGCTATTTCATTTACAAGTGGCAGCGGCTGCCACTTCGATGAGATACTATCAGTTCGGGCCAAGTGTAATGATCTCCGCCCAGCACAAGGCAGGATGGAAGTTGCCTCAAATGGAGAAACATTCCACGAAAAACGAATATTGCGCCATGTTCCGATGGATTACGCAGCCACGCCCTCTCCACCCCCGACAAGGTGATACAGTGCGTATAAATCGAGGTACCAAAATCTTCTCAACAGAGGCACACAAACACTGTGATAGAAAAACCTATGCTGAGCTCACATTTGCGAACGGGAATTTATAAAATTATGTGCTTGTCTTGCTTTCTGAAGTGTGTGCCGCAGCAGTTAGAGAAGCTGACTTTACACGCACTGTACGCTCACTCCAAGTACGGTTCTTGCCATGTACGAGGTGAATGGGCCCGCAGCTGCAGTACCGTACCACATGCTCCGCTCAAAGTGCATGGTACTGGGCTGTAGTGGTACCAAGTGCTGTCTCCATACTCCACTCGCGCTTCTCAAGGTGCAGTACTTGCGCCGATAATAAGGTCTCCCAGCAAAACAAGCACTCATCAGGCAAACAGGTAAAGAACAACCATGGGTGAGAGGACACACACAAGTGGCACAAGTGGCACGTTGGCTACGATTATACTGTGGCCGGCAGCGCTGGCGGGGTATGGAGACAGCACGCGAGTATCACTGCTCTCAAGCCCCGGAAGAAAATAGCACGCTACTTTAGTTGCGGACCCCCTGACCTCACATACGTCATGGACCAGGATTCAGGTGGTACACAGCTTATCTTTAATTACACCCTCTGCCACCCAGCAAGTGGGAAACGCGGTCCAACTATGAACTTGTAGGGGCTAACTGACTTGTTCGTGCAAACGAAAGCAAAAGAAACTGTCGAACATGCTTTTTCCCCGTTTCATTGAATTTAGTTTCCAGCGAGTATGCCAGAAAGGGAGCGAAGAGACACTGAGAGCGCGGATGATAGACCATACAATGGAACGGCGTGAGAGAAATGGACTAAAAAGAAAGTCGAGCATTAACTCATTTGACTCCGAGAGAATTGACCTACAATTTTCCGTGCATGTCCATTCATGAACGTTTTCTGGACTATTACTACTATAGAAACTACCACATGGTTTCCGAGGTACTGAGCGGAGATTCATGAGAACAGAACAATATGTTTTATAGTACCAAGGAGAAGCTGATGAGTCTGGTCAAGTGAGCATGCTCGGGATTTAACGAACAAGAACCTCAGGAAAACATGTTTTCTCTCACTGATCCTGGGATAATGAGCTCGAAATTCGAGCTTGTGATTGAGATTTTTTTGTGCACTATACTGCAGGAGAGCAAATCGTAAAATAAACACATGGAGAAGGATAGCGAAGAGATGCCAGCAATAAAAGGTAGAGTTCCCGAACTTCACAAAATTGGAAAAAATGAAGCAGAGAATCAGAAACACTGAGCCGCACCTCATTTTCTTATTCTGTTCACGCTTCATAATGTTCATATTCTCTTCAACGTTTGGATCAGATAGTCGATCGAGAGACAGATCATCTTTCTATAAACAAAAGTAGTAGAGAATCAGTTTGGAATCATACAAATAAGTTATAAAAAGTTGTGTGATTTCTGCTCTTAATCAAACAAGTCAAAGATTATGATGGTTGTAGAAACAGACGCTGTATGCACCGGAGTTTCTAAAACCTCCATATCTCCACTGAAAACAGTTCTAAAGTCTACTGAAAAACCTCGCTCAAAGCAGTTCTGCGGGTTGCAAAAGATACTCCACTCATGCAGCACACCATAAAAGTCTGAGTGAAGATCAGGGCATCCTGCCTTTGGGGAAAATTTCAAAAAGACTCCCTCTGATAATTCTATCCTCACATAGGCTAGTGCGACCCCACGCCTTCCCCATCCCCCACTCTACCTAGCATCTTTTGAATCCTCCCTCTCCGTTTCCTTTCCGTTTTCTCCGGAATTTCTTTCCCGAAAATCTCTAGTTTAAAAGTTGTGTGGGGAAAGGGTATGTGGCGCCAGCGAAACGAGAGAAAATGTAGGGAAAGATCAACACTGATCGGATATGACCCGGGAATCTTCTATACATTTGTTCTGACACTCCCCCGTCATGGTGCTCCATAATCTCCCGAGCCGACCTGCGTGTGGTTCCTGTGTCCCTCCCGGCCAAGGGGCAAAATCATGAAAATCATGAACTGTAGGGAAGCTGACCAAACAGCTGGGCAGCTGACGTCTATCACCCTAGGAGCGACAGTTGCAGGTACCTGCCCAGGAGTGTTCCAGCCGTGGAAACTAGACAGATCTGTCAAGCTGACACAAATGCCGTAGGCTTTATTGAAAAATTCTACGTGATGTTAACTTTGACGGGAGCGCCGTAAGTGAGTAGTACTTCTTAGGGCCCCCCGCCGTATTCTGACCAACCTCATCTATGTCATAGTGAGTGTTGAAAAAAAACTTTCAAGTCACAACTTACAGGTATCGGCTTTCCTCCTCGAAGAAGGGTTTCACATTCAGCAACACGGCGTGAGAACTTTTCGAACCGAACGCGTACCTGGAAATTGGTTAAACCTTAACTCTAAGAAGCGGTGTTATTTGCCTGGAAGAGGTATTTTGTACTTTCGATATTTCATGACTAGCAGATTGCTCTTGTGAAGCTTCTAGGTAACAAGAACTCACAGGGCTTCATAAAGTAACGTAAAGGTCTCTCTAAATGCCATTTGGTTCCCCCACCAAGCCGAACTGCTTGTAAGAAGCCCCGAAACGATCATAATACTTACATCATCCATACAATCTGCAATATCCGCCGCATGTTGTTTTGCTTCGTCTCTGATCGGACCAGCCATACATAAAAGCGTTTGTATCTTAGCTCGTTCTTCCTGAAACAGTCACTCTTACTCACTGGAAATTTCACAGTCGGGTCTTGGTCGTCACCTTTACAGCCAGCTTGAACGTATGAAAATCCTCCAGTGTAGCCGCATCGGCTACTCCTTTTCCCATGAACTCACTCAAACGGCGTTCACCTTCTCCACAAAGCCAGTCAACCAACACATGCCGTGTTGCATCCATTAATACAAACTGCTGGCATCTACAAAAATCTCTCCAAATATTGAAAACAACAAAACTGACAATAACAGTTTTGCTGGATTTCTTTCTTTTCGACTTTCCGTCTACACGGACATTACTGTGTTTCAAGGGAGTGAACACGACTGAAGGGGGGGGCGGGCGGTCGTCGCCAACGTCATTGGTGGAACGGTTGGAGTGGGTGTACCCAAATGCTCTCCGGCAGCTCTTCCCAGTGACACTGGTAACAACCGTCAGCCTCCAGCAATCGTGCCCACTACCTTAGAGGGCTGTCATGCGGCAATGCGCCAAAGTGCTTATCCTCAGTCTCGGCCCCGGAAGAGCCCAGACCAGAGTACACGCGCGGTCTTGCCCCAAGAGCGGTCTTCGCATTGTGGACCCCTCAACTATGGAGCGCCTATGCGCTCTATGCTTTGTCTACCGCCCTCTTCTTCTTTCGGACTGTAGTGCGTCCGCAAAATGAAAAAAAAACAAGTATGAATCATGCAATAGGACTACTAGGGCAAAGCCTAAAATCACCTGTCCAATTGTTTCTTCTTTTTCGTCCACAACTCGAGTATCTTTGATTGCCGTTCACGCAGGTCTGACTTCATCCGTATGATCCTTTCACTGTCAAGCCTACAAAGACCGAAAAATAACTACTTTCTTCTTTCTGACGATCATTACAGTAACATACCGATTGTGTACACCAGTACCCGAGCTGGTTCTTTCGATGTATTTTAAAAAGAGTTCACTGGTCTTTTGTGCATAAATACAACCCTTCAGAAACCGATCCTTGTAGTCCATGTGCTTGCTGAGCAACTCCGAGATCACATTGACTCTCTCCTGAGGTGTTTCACCTGCCCGAATCGCACACCAGTCACGATCGGGATTCTGAAACAAAAAGAATTCATTCGAAGGCTCTCCCGCGATAATTTAGTGGGTGCAGAGATGGGCGGAGACATCAGTTACCATCTCTCCTGCATTAGTGCGCCCTTCCTTCCGTTATGGGGCAAGGGAGGGGCGCTTAGAAAAGTTGGAATGTTGGCTTATATTCCTTTCTTTTCATGTCCATCCGATAATCGTGGAATATGCGTCTAGGAGGAGCATCTCATTGACCCTGCTTGAAATGAGAAACATCCAGAGTGTAGTGGCAGTTCTTTAAAGCAGCCAGAACAAAATCTGGTCATAGCACCCCCCCCCCCCCCCCCCCCCCACC